ATTTTCCAAGCATCTGCTCACAGATACCCGGAAGTACTGGGCCAAACGGGAGACGCAAGCTCAAATACAACCCTCTAAAGTCAGGGGAGCACTGCCTGAGACAGCATTACACAAGAAGGTTCTCGCAAATGCCACCTATACTTCCCGCTCGATGCCTCAGCAAGAGGGGATGTCCTGGAGCCCGGACATCCAGGAATTTTATTTTTTTTTGCAGTGTCGTGCCGGGGGCCTGATTATCAAGAAGGCTCCCGCAGAAGCCTCTGACCTGGCCGCATGATCCAGGAAGTATGAAGCCGAACTTTTATTTGCCATATGAACAAACAGATAAATATATACAAACATACAAATAAACACCACAATTAAAAGAATCCAAATATAAACAATTATGAGTAAAAAAGAACAATAAATTCAGAAATAAATGTTAAAATTTGTAAGCAACATAACATTGTAGCTGAGTTTTTGATCACTGGGTTTTAGATTTTTTTTTTTTTTTAAATAACAAAAGAGGATAAATATAAAGTAGAATTAAAATAGAATAGAAAGTGCTAGAGTTCACTGGGAACACAGGGAGCGTAGGAGACACAGTGCACATAAAATTACGCACAAGACCCGACAGAGACACAATGCTAGGACTAGGACTTAAATACTAGACAAAACGAGGGAATAACGAGGAACATAGGGAGGAACACAGGTGCACAGAATAACTAATTAGACAAAACGAGACCAGGAACAGGAAGATAACCAAATATGGGCACAGAGGGAGAAAACGCAACGAAATGGGAACACAAGTCTGACAGTTTAAAAGTTTTGAAGACAATACAATTTATCACAGATAGATATATAGATAAGAAATATTAAATTACATTAGAAATTTTAGATGTAGATTAATAGATTATATGGTGTTTCTATGTGGTTTCTATGGTGTTGCTATGCGGTTGCTAAGGTACTCTGGGTGGTGGCTAGGGTGTTGCTGTGCGGTTGCTAGGGTACTCAGGGTGGTTGCTAGGGTGTTGCTATGCGGTTGCTAAGGTACCCGGGGTGGTTGCTAAGGTGTTGATATGCAGTTGCTAAGGTACTCGGTGTGGATCCTAGGGTGTTGCTATGCGGCTGCTAGAGTGTTGTTATGCGGTTGCTAGGGTACTCGGGGCAGTGGCTAAGGTGTTGCTATGCGGTTGCTAGGGTACCTGGGATGGTTGCAAGGTGTTGGTATGCGGTTTCTAGGGTACCCGGGGCAGGTGCTAAGGTGTTGCTATGCAGTTGCTAGGGTGTTGCTATGCGGTTGCTATGGTACCCAGGGTGGTTGCTAGGGTGTTGCTATGCGGCTGCTAAGGTACCCAGAGTGGTTGCTAGGGTGTTGCTATGCAGTTGCTAGGGTATCTGGGGCGATTGCTAGGGTGTTGATATGCGGTTGTTAAGGTACCCAGGGTGGTTGCTACGGTGTTTCTGTGAGGACATGTGTGTTCGCACCTGGACTTACGACAAACCTTGGTTCAGTGCAAAACTCAAAACAGCTTTACCAGGCCAAAGCAGGACGTCTACAGAAGTGGGGACAAAGCTTTGTACAAACAGTCCAAATACACACTAAATAGGGAGATCAGAGTGGCAAAGCACAACTACTCTGAACACAGCCATCAGCACCCTCCCCCCTACTGTTTCTCAGCCTGTACTCAAGATCTGTGAAGATGATGTAAGCAAAGTCTTCAGGAGACAGAAGATAAGGAAAACCAAAGGCCCAAACGGTGTCTCTCCAGCCTGCCTCAAAGCCTGTGCTGTCCAGCTATCATCCATTTTCACATTGATCTTCAACAGATCACTAGAGTCCCCTCCTGCTTCAAATGTTCCACCATCATCCCTGTACCCAAGAAACCAAAAATCACAGGACACAGAACTATAGACCTCTTGCTTTAAACGTCTGTGCTCATGAAGTCATTTGAGACACTGGTGTTGGCCTACTTGAAGGAGAAACTGCACTTCATCCTCCAACATCTGGACAAACCAGGGCTATGCAAGGATCCTGTTTGTGGACTTCAGCTCCGCTTTCAACACCATCATCCCAGACACCCTTCAGAATAAACTGACCCAGCTCTCTGTGCCCACCTCCATCTGTCAGTGGATCACCAGCTTCCTGACAGACAGGCAACAGCTAGTGAGGCTGGGAAACCTCACATCCAACACTCGCACCATCAGCACCGGAGCTCCTCAGGGCTGCATCCTCTCCCCACTGCTCTTCTCCCTCTACACAAATGACTGCACCTCTACGTTGCTAGGGTGTTGCTATGCGGTTGCTAAGGTACCCGGGGTGGTTGCTAGGGTACCCTGGGTAGTTGCTAGGGTGTTGCTATGCGGTTGCTAAGGTACCCGGGGTGGTTGCTAGGGTGTTGCTATGCGGTTGCTAGGGTACTTGGGGTGATTGCTAGGGTGTTGCTATGCGGTTGCTATGGTACCCAGGGTGGTTGCTAGGGTGTTGCTATGCGGCTGCTAAGGTACCCAGAGTGGTTGCTAGGGTGTTGCTATGCAGTTGCTAGGGTATCTGGGGCGATTGCTAGGGTGTTGATATGCGGTTGTTAAGGTACCCAGGGTGGTTGCTACGGTGTTTCTGTGAGGACATGTGTGTTCGCACCTGGACTTACGACAAACCTTGGTTCAGTGCAAAACTCAAAACAGCTTTACCAGGCCAAAGCAGGACGTCTACAGAAGTGGGGACAAAGCTTTGTACAAACAGTCCAAATACACACTAAATAGGGAGATCAGAGTGGCAAAGCACAACTACTCTGAACACAGCCATCAGCACCCTCCCCCCTACTGTTACTCAGCCTGTACTCAAGATCTGTGAAGATGATGTAAGCAAAGTCTTCAGGAGACAGAAGATAAGGAAAACCAAAGGCCCAAACGGTGTCTCTCCAGCCTGCCTCAAAGCCTGTGCTGTCCAGCTATCATCCATTTTCACATTGATCTTCAACAGATCACTAGAGTCCCCTCCTGCTTCAAATGTTCCACCATCATCCCTGTACCCAAGAAACCAAAAATCACAGGACTACAGACCTGATGCTTTAACATCTGTGGTCATGAAGGCATTTGAGAGACTGGTGTTGGCCTACTTGAAGGACATTACGGGACCCTTGCTGGACCCCCTGCAGTTTGCTTAACGAGCAAACAGGTCTGTGGATGATGCAGTCAACGTGGGACTGAGCTACATCCTCCAACA